TGTGGGAGGAAGCCGGAGAACCCGGAGAGAACCCACACTGCACGGGGAGAACATGGAGACTCCACGCAGAAAGATCCCGGGTGTCCTCACCGGGACGCGAACCAGCGACTTGCTGTGAGGCAACGGTGCTAACCACTGAGCCACCGTGCAGCCCATTAAAATCAGTATATAGATTAATATTCTGAATAATGGCTTGTTTCATGTCTGGAATGGACTACATATGTTTAAGCAGCTTATATTTTAGTCCACCTACTTGCTCTCAATCAGTCCACCAGCATTTCAATGTATCCCCACATTTTTACAGAGTACCTGTGACCCTTTTATATTCTTGTCAATGTGCCTGTGAGTTAATGTGAGTTAGAAATGTTAGAAACTGTTTATTACATCCAAATGCTTTTTACGCCTCCACTTAAAAAATGACTCAATCATTTCACTGATCTCCCCCCTTTAGGCTTGTGTGTAATAAGGTAACGGTATGGACAGTTTCTCCTGACTTAACACGAGCAACACTTACATTTTCTTATGCTGTTCAATCTGCTTCTCCTTCTTCTCGTAGTGCTCCATGATCTTCACCCTCTGAGTCTGCACCAGGCGGCCCTTCTCGATGTTGAACTCCTCCTCGGCCTGGAGGAATAAAGGTCCATTTGTCACGGCCACTGTGACATACACCACAAGACTGAGTGACAAACAGGCTTCAATTACCTTAGCATCAATTTCCTCCACTTTCTCACTGGCCTCTTGCTCGATGAAGGCCATCATGTGCTTTATCTGCAACAGGAGACCAAAAAAAAAAGGTTGTGGCACAGTTCATGTTTGTTCACTGACTAAAGGTTGCAATTCAGACAATGCAGTCCTGCTTAAACTGAGATTTTCAGTTTTAGAAAGAACTTAAATGACCTAGTTTAGTCCTATAAGAGTGAGTTGGTGTGTACTGACATGACAGGGAGCGTGTTTAAACGTGTAACGCATAACAACGTAGAACAACTGCCAAAAAACTACAAACAGGACTACAAAAAAACTACAACCGGGAAAAAAAATGCTAACTTTAGATTAGCATTGAACTCAGAAGTTAAACAAAAACTAGTGATAAAATAGCCACACGTTGCGTTAGTTCAGGTTTTGGCCCGTTAGCTTGAGTTTGTTGTGTTTACATTAAGTTTTAAAGCTTAGCCTAAGTTTAAACTTAGCCTAGCTTCGTCTGCTTTACCTGTTTCTGTACGTCAGCGTCGGTGAGCGCCATGTCTGCTCCTTAGACGTGTTTTCTTTTGTTGTTGTTGTTCGTTTAAATAAAATAAAGTCTCCTCGACCACTTTCGCAGCTCAGTGTGACGGGAATCGTTGAGCGTTTTCTTCTGTTTCTAGTCGAGCTAGCTTCGCGAGACGAACCTGAACTTCCGGTCAAGTCTTTCAAATTAAGACGAACAAGGAGTAGAAAAGGAAAACGGGGCCCCTCCCATCTCAGTTCCTGTAGCTTTAAGGACACACGCCCACCTCAGTGTCTTCAGATGATTTAACTCTAAGCAGTCCAGTTCATCAATAGCTTTGGTGTCCGTGGGCCCAGTGTGGAGACTCCAGTGTCACCTTAGACCGCTCAGGTGAGTCATTTTAATTCTAATGTCAGTTTATTATTCCCACACTTGTGTGTAGCTACAGTCAGGGCTATTTCTGAGGAAGCATACTGGCTTAAAAACATTAACAGGAGCTGAAGTTTAGTTTGTTAGCTGTTTGCAGGAGTGTTTCCTCAGAGTTTATTTAACACCTGCAGCATCAGAACACGACGCAGGCCGAGAAGCAAGAAAAACACATTTTATTCTAACATAACTGGCTCTGATGAGATCAGTTATCAGCACACATGGAGTAGTCTCACTTTGTGGCTCCCTCACACTATCACACTATCGCAATATACCCCCACACTGTGTGCAGTTTATCTCCCTTATGTGCAATAATTATTGTATTGTACCATATTTTGTTCCATTTTATTTATCTTTTATATTTTTTAAGTTCATTCTATCCATTATATGGATCTTTAGTGTTCTCAGCTCTTCCTATTTATAGTTTATGTGTTCTCTTTTCTTCCTGTCACTTTTTTTTGTGCTCCGTATCCAGACTGCTGCAACGAGTGAGTTTCCCCATCTGTGGTGAAAAATAAAGTGCAATCTAATCTAATCGCTTTGCTATTGTTTCATTAAACCAACCACCGTCCTTGTCGGCAGGGCTAAGATAAGGATGTGTTCACTCATTCAGTCAAATAATGATTGTTTTAGTGGAACATTTGCATACATTGAGATGAACACTGTTGGTAAAATTGATTTAAAATGGGGAGGAGAGAGCAAGCAGGATTTTCTTACAGCAAGATCTAAATCCTCTACAAAACGTTTCAGTGTGCTACTGTTTCCCATAGCAAACAAAACAGTAAGGAATAAAGGAAGGGAAGGACAAAGCCGCTAGAAATATACGTAGTAGGTCAGAGCATGAATATATATATAAAGGCTTTATTATATATATCTATGGGTCAGACTAGTAGCCAAGTGACAATAAAAACACATTTTACTGTCACCTTCACGCTGCCAATTGAAAAACTGCCAAACAAGAGTGGGAACAAATTGGTGGAAATAAAATCATATGTTGTTGCTGATTTTGCAAATGAAACAGAGCAGAAATAATCATTTTTATGTCACAGAAATGCAATGCATATGAAATAGATAACCTACATATTCTACCTACATATTCTCAAAAACCCACATAGTTAGCGACGAGCTATGTGCCCACTGGCAAAAAAATAAAATATTTTTCCCAGGTACAATTTCTTGGGGGGAGGGTTACTCTAGAGACTTGAATGATTAAATAATTATAAATATGTTTGGGTGGAAAATCCTAAGAAATTTATGAAAATTCGGTCTTTCCAGGAGGATTTGCATTCACCATGTCTTCAGTGGCATAAAGGAGATGATGTCATGTAACAGGAAGCACCTGGAATCAATTTTTTTTAATAAACCAACGCCTTTGTCTAAGTTGTCTACTAGCACATAAGTGGAAAAAAGTTGCTTCAGTACCTTTGAGATTTTTTATTGTGAGTAGAAAATGACAGTGACAGCTGTTGCCAGTGGGGCAAAACCGGTTAAATTCGGGCTTTTGTCTTTGCTGTGTGGCCCCCGTGTCCCCCCCCCCCATTCACAATTTTTGGACGCGCCCCTGGAACTTGTGCACGTGCCGTTGCTAGCATACACAACAAGTCTGATGAACTGTTTGTTGCTAATGCTAATTTACATGCTAGTTTGACTTTACAGCCCAACGCTTACTTAAAGGTGAGCTTTACTGTGTTGTTGTAGACAACCAGCTGCTGGGGGTGTTATTCTGAAGGCTGTGTGAGGACCTCCGCCGCTCTACGCTCGCTAGCTTGCGCACCATCCAGAGCACACCGTGTACTCGTGTTTTACTGCCGCCTGCCAGTGGTGATCTGCGCTCTCCGGCTACTGCTGCAGGAGCCTGCGTCGCATATTTCCCTTCAGCTTGTCGTTTGTCAGCACCTGGTTGCCTTTGGACAAGGACGGTGAGGAATGGACGCCGGTTGGGTTTAAGTTAACACGTAGTTTCGCTTTAAAAAGAAAAAATAGCATGCAGAAAGGTGTAACGTTGAGCTAGCTAACAATAGCTTCCATGTGAGCTGAGAGGCTTCCAGCAATGACTTGTTTGACTGAAAACTGCATTTTTTTTGGGTCACTGTTGCAGACATTCATTTCATGTGTCAGGCAATTAATTAGCTAAGCTTAATATCTGTTTGTTAATAAGTGTGAGCGTGAACCGTTACATCATAGTTTTTTTTTAAAGCCATGTCAAACCGTGAGATAACTCCATTTACTTCCATTCTCATCACTCCAGCTGTTTTAATATCTATATATGTGAAATTCACTTTTAAATTCACTGCTGTGGAGCTCCGGGTTTAACTTTGACAGCGCAGGCCGGTAGTGGGATTTAATTTGGCTCACTTGACATTAATCTAACTTTGGGTCCGCGTGGTGTCCCCTCATCTCTGCAGGACGATGTGAGAAGATAAAACCCTGTCATGACAAGTGACTAATCACTACAACACGGAGACATTTGCTCTGAACATTTGTCTGCAAGATTTAATCAAAAAGTCATTTTAAGCACCTTTTGTTCACCACGTGTGTTATGTAAGTTGAACTGTTGGGACAAAACGTACCCCTCCACGTCTGTTTCTCTTCCTCGAGGTCAAAAGCAGTACATGTAATAATTAAGGTTTAGTTAATCTCCATTTGACAAATTGGTAAAGTGAACTTGTCCCCTCACGCAGTGGGCGTAGGACACTGTGAAACTCAAGAGGTCGTCCTATATCACACACGTAACAGCTGCTTTACTGTCAAACAGCAGAGGTCTGGATGAGGATCTTCTTGGTTTTATTAATGGGAGCCTTAACCACAAATGACTGTCACGGTTTCTTCTTCTCCCTCAGGTCATACGTCCAGCTTCGACTGTAAGAATTAATGTGCCTGAGTGTCTGACACGCGTCTGTTCAATGGCTACCTCGGGCTCCACCTCTGCTGCCTCCATCACTGCCACCGTGCCTGAGGGTTTCCATTATGAAACCAAATACATTGTGCTTAACTACCTGGGAATGCTGCCTGTTGGTAGATCACAGGCACCAACAATGTCTCAAGGTGAGAGGAAAGACTTTACATCTGTGACTCATTGTTGTTGTGTAATCACATTTCTTTTTTTCCTTCTGAAATCAAGAGACAACCTACGTTAAACACTTTTGATGTCCTTTTTGCAGTCTCCTTCATGTGCACACACGGCCCTCACTTCTACGCGTTCACAGCACACACAAATAGAGTTGTGCGCGCACGCACACATGGCAGTAACACAAAATATTTGGTGTGTGCAGGCACGTAGCCACCTGTTTACCAGCTCAATTTAGCTCTCTCTGACTTTGGCACACAAACGCGTTCAAAAGACGGCTGTTCCCACTTCAGCGCGACAAACGCAAAGTCGCCTGTGCTTGTAAACAAATAAACGTCATGTAGGGTTTCCCATAAGCCCAGATTTAGTCCTCTCAATATTCCAGAGTAGCCGGTATGTCTCCACAGCAACTTTTACTACAACCACGTGCCACGGCCTCAGGCTAGCAGCATCTTGTTTTTCTGCCTTTGTGCCTGGCATACAAAAAACCTCAGTGCGTCTTTGAGCATTTGTTTGACACATGCCTACACGTAAGGCTAATTTGTTATTGTTTTGTGTCTTCTGTGACGTGAGAGCAATGATGTGTGAAACTAAATGCCACCGAACTTGAATTGCTCTTACTTTGTGCAAGAAAGATGGTCTTGAAATAAATGATTACGCAGAGAGAAACTCTACACTTATAGGATTGTGTAACGCAGTTTATACACAGAACTGTCTGATGTAATGGTTCAGTATTTTGAGAAAGAAAAATGAAAGGGTAGCTGGCAGAAAAGAGAGAGGGCAGGGGGAGTTCTCAGTATTTCCTGTCCGTTTTATTGTTTGAATGCTTGGAATGGGCGGAGAAAGGCAGATGAGTGGCTGATCCCTGCTTTCCGCTTGACCCGGTCCAATTTCTGACAGCCTGTCATGTGTAATCACTGTAGGATTACTCACACGCCAATGGACCAAAGCAAAATAGTTGTCTGGCTAGCTGTCTGGCTGAATGCTGAAACAGCACCAAGCTCAGGAAAAACCAACACCGGTCCTCAGGGCGTTTGTTTTGAGCTGCAGAGACGCAGATGCAGGACGGGTCGCCTGTCTTCTTATGTCCGGGTTTAGAAACGTCGGTATTTGATTCCAATCAAGAAAACTTTAATAGGAAAGGTCATATCGATCAGATGTTAGAGCTTTAAAGAATGATTTGTGTTTCTCTACTGTTGACTGGTTTCTAGTCCCTAGTGTGGCAGAGCTGTGTCAAACCAACAGAACTAATGGAGTCACCCACAGTGGAAATACCCCATGTCTGGGTTGAGTGTATGAACAGGCAGGACCATCAGCCTTCCTTATTGAATGACTGCTAGTTCTCTCCAGCCTGAATGACTGCATTCAAAATGTGTTTTATGTGAATGTGAGAGCTCATCACACTCCAGCCCTGCAGTCTTTGTGTTAGTTTTGCCCCTTGCGTGCTTCATTACATCCCCAGCAGTGTAGCCTCAATATTGTAAATAATTAACTTCAGCATAAGCTGAGCAATGGGTCCTGGTACGCACGCGATGACAGGAAAGCTTTTTCTTGTCTTATTTTAGCAGCTTCATGCTGACGAAAAACGACGTGAGAGCAAAGGGTGCTAGCATTCGCCTCACCTAAGCCAACAAAGAGTGTTCTCCCCTGCAGGAAAGTTAGTGTTTATGCATGCACAACAGGTTTGTTGGCAAACTCTGTGTATTTGGCATCATGCTAAGTGTGCAGGCGTCATCAGCTCATCGTTATGATGGAGCCGAGAGGTGGCCCAGTTTCCCCTTTGATGCGGATCCAAGTCGGTTAATGCTCTGTGCATTAATCAAAAGTCAGACTCCATATTGGTTTCCTTTTTTGTTATTTATCCTAAATAATGTAACTGCACAGAGCACACACACATTTTTATTTTCCTCTATTTAACCAGACCTTCGCTTTAAAAAGAAACCAGACATAAGCGACCTACATTGTTCCACTCTGACTGTACATGCATCACATCCCATTAAGATGTGAAAACATAAATGTAAAAAGCTTCCTTGGTGTTGTGTGATGTTTTGTAAGGTGCTATGTCATATTTCTCTGGGAGAGAGGCAGTCGGTTCATGTGTCCCTTCTATTCTCTTTCAGGAGATGGCCAGACTGAGAGAGAGAGGACCAGAATGATAAAAGAGCAGATAGAGGAGGAACTAAGACAACTGGAAGATGAGATCGCTGCCTGTAAGTGGGCACAACCGCACACGCGCTGGTTATCTTCCAGGAACACTGAAGCCGTTTGTGTGTCTTTTGAAAAATTTCCTCAGAAGGTCTTGAGTCGTTGATTTCAAACAAACGGAGTCACGTCTCAATAATGGTTCAGATATCGCAGTTAACTTGGCTTTGTGTGCACAAACTGAAATATGAATCACAGCTGGGGTATTTGACGCCAGAGTACAGTCTAAATAAATTACAGGGAAGAACCTGTCAAAAGCTTTGTGTGTTCGGTCAGCCGGTCTGCCTGTGCACAAAAATTAAGTCAGTGTACAAATATGAAGTGTATATATGTGTAAATATGTGTATGAACTTTGGTTTCTTTACATAACCACGTTTCTGTGAGTGTTGCTGCAGAATAGTCTCAGTGCTCATGTGTAGTGAGGAACAGACGAGCTGTTTGTATGTAAAGGTTCTTCTCCCTGATGCTCTTATGTTCCTCAGACAACCATAGTTATATAAAAATGAGATTTTTTGTAAATAGTCTTTTAAATATGCTTGTCTGGGTTCTAGGAGTCAAACACTCGACAAATCCAGAGGTGCTATGTTGACAAAAGTGTTCTTTTTTGCACATGAATCATTTTTATAAGTAAACTGCTTGTATGAGATACCGCTCCATGTGACAAGTCGTTTGGTCCGTTGCTGCTTGCAGCTTTTTCCAGCACAGGCTTCGACCGCCACACATCACTGGTGTTCAGTCCAGCCGACCCGGAGAGCTCTATTGAAGACTTTCTTGCTGCGATGGGAGACAAGGTGGCCAGAGAGCTTGACACACACCTGGCAGCTGCCCTACACACACTCCTCACAGGGTGAGTTCATAGAGCTGTGACTGTCATCAGAAAAGCATGAGAACCCCTTGAAAAAGGAGTTTATTGCTGCGTTTCTGAACTGCTTAAAAACATTAATTTAATTTACATCCTAACATTGCTGCTACTGCATTGCTGTCCTGCGACACGATTGGTACAATGAGGACACGGTATGAGGGGGAAATGCGAGCGTTCAAATCTGAAAGGAACGACAAAGTCAGCGCTGATATACTGCTGGTATTGTTCACTTTCTTCTGAGTGAACTTCTGAACTGTTGCAGTTGTGCAACCAGGTGGAAAAAAATCTATTGTTTGACATTGATTGAAAGGTGTGCATTTAATTCTGAAAGTGTTGAGATTGGAGGTAGTGTAAACAGAATGAGCTGACAAAATGATGGAGACATACGTATGCAGACTCATTAATCACATAAAAGTGCATCCACATGTCATCTCATTACCCCACATCCCTGCCGTCCACTCACCAGCACAGTTTCACATGGTCACAGTTTTCTTGTCTTAGCGTGCGTTCTAGTGCACACACATTGGCACATATGTACACATTGACTTTTCTAAACTAGACAGTCACTGGGACAGTGTTCACAATCTCAGCTGGTTGTTTGCTTTGTGTGGGACGTATCTAGTAGTCTTTATTTCCCTTGGGTTGACACGGCACGTCAATAATAAAAGTTAAACTAAACTAGTGTAGATCCAGCAAATCTTAAAGACCCACTCAAACACACATCAATGGTATAGGCAGGTTTTTAGGGGGCGGGTTAATTATCACAAAAAAATCCATATTACCTTCCAGCATACTGTCATTCTAGTTGTCTGAGAGAAGACTAGACTTCTACACCTTCTCCTGGCTCTGGTTTCATGTTTTAGGAACATCTAGCCCAGTACAGAGACTTTATCCAGTCACTGGTCTGTTCACCGATCAGATGGGGTGTCAGCAAAGTCCTCAGAGAGAAGAGGATGTTGTGGCACAGTGGGTTAGATGGAGGACTTTTACTCAGGAGAGCAGGGTTTAATCTCAGGAGAATGGACGCTGACTTTTTTAAGTGCACGCTCATGTGGTGTGCTCGAGCTGCAGCGAGCATCTGAGGGTTGGATGGGAAAGAGCCGGGACTTCACAGATCTGCATTTTCTTTTTTTAAGATTATTTTTGTGGCTTTTTTTCCGCTTATATTGGATAGGACAGTGAAGAGAGACAGGGCAACGTGGGGGAAGACATGCAGCTAATGAGCCGCTGGCTGGACTCGAACCGCGGCTGCTGCATCAGGGACTATAGCCCCCGTACACGGGTCGCTTTTTTATCCGGTTCAGATACTGGGGCGATCCACAGATCTGCATTTTCTAAAGAAAGCAACATCTAAGCCATTAGGCTAAATTATTTTCAGGGACATAAAACTTCTAAATGTGTAATTTTGATGCAAAAATGTGGATTAATTATGTTGAAGATGGGCGATCAAGGGCAAAGAAGATAATTACCAACTGCTCCAGTGCTGCGCTCCAGTGCCTGACTGATAAGACTGTGGCTCCAACTTCCTACTGTGAATGTGTGTGAGTGAGCAGAACAAGGTTTAGAAACACTGTTCATGCTCAGTGAACTACCCCAGAGAGGACAAAAGGCCTTTTTGGACACGCTTCCTCCCATCATATGAAAAAAAAAAGTTAGAAAACCAAGGCAACTAATGAACAACCTTAGAAAAACTTTTTTATATGAAACATGGACATCCACACATTTATAGCATCTGAACAGCGGTGAAGGTGTAGCTTCAGAACGTCAGCGAGAGGCAGGAGGCATTTTTTATTAGATGATGTTTGAAGTTAAGTCCCTAAATAGTTTTTGTAAGTTAGTTAATTCAGAGAGCACAGCTTTTATCAGCGAGCAGTGAGGTTTTAGTCGAGCTTTACAGGCGTCTTCACAATCATCAAAATCAGCATTTGCTTCTAGGTACATGTTAAAACTCCCCAAAAATGTTGTGTTTAATCCCTCTGATGAAGTCTCTGTGTTTCAGACCTCTGGACTATCAGAGATTCAGAGACACAACACTGGATCTCTCCACACACACACAGGGAGGCTGGAGCAAGGCGAGTCAACCTTTATGCTGTTGTTTTTAAATCTGCCCTGCTTGTGTGGTTTATCTTTGTGTTTCAACGTCTCTGTCTCTCTCCGCCACCAGGTACTCGTGCCTCTGGTGCTGCTCCAGGCTTTACAAAGCGAAGGCCACTCCGTGACAACTCTGTTGAATCTAGGGCTGCGCTACCTAGAGCAGGACGAAGCCGACTACATCATCCAGCAGGGGGGATGGGTGAGTTTAGAACCATGTGATGGAGGACAAACATGTTTTATTCATCACTTTAAAAATCAAAAATAACTACCTGCTTTGTAGCACTTCTTCAGATACTCAAACTACTTTATATCATTTTAAAAATAAGAAATCTGTTCTGTTGAAAAGACTCCAGAGAAAAATTACATTTCAAAACAAGTTTAACTCTCTGTGTGCTAAGACTGAGAGTGTGAGAGTTAAACTTCAAATTCAGGGCTTCTTCTCTTTATGAAGGACAAAATGGTATCAAAGATTGCACAGACCTAGTATGGAGGAGGGGGTGGCTAGGTTGCTCGGTGGTTAGCACCGTCGCCTTGCAGCTAGAGGTGAGGACACCCGGGACCCTTCTGCGTGGAGTCTCCATGTTCTCCCCGTGCAGCGTGGGTTCTCTCCGGGTTCTCCGGCTTCCTCCCACAGTCCAGAAACATGCTGAGGTTAATTGGTGATTGTAAATTGTCCGTAGGTGTGAATGTGAGTGTGCTTGGTTGTCTGTCTCTAAGTGTAGCCCTGTGATAGACTGGTTACCTGTCCAGGTGAACCTGCCTTCACCCTGAGTCAGCTGGAATAGACTCCAGTCCTCTGCCACCCTAGTGAGGATTAAGGAGTATAGATAATGGATGGATGGATGGTATGGAGGAAACGGCACGATGAGATGTTGTGCAAAGTGAAAGGGAAAAAAAATGCTTGTCCACAAAAGGTGTACGTCTCTAAATAACCAGATGAGGGCGTCAGTGAGCTACACCACCACATCCTACATGTCAGATAAATATCATAGTAAAGTGAATAAATTCTCAGCAGACCATCTATAAATGTCCAGAGAGTATTTGCGTGTGCTGCTTCACTGCTGTCGAATTTGTGTTATAACAAAACCAACAGCTCCTGACATACTTTAATCATTTGATAATTCTTCTCAGGATTTATTCATGAGAAAAAATCTGATTATGTTTATATTTAATGAAGATAACTGTTGTTTAAAGATGGTCACGTGAACTATTTCTGGAGGTAACGTAAGCAAATGAAGAGAGAGCAGGAACATGTCTCACCATCTCAGCCATTTGCTTCCTCGATGTTCTGTGTGCTCATGTCTGTCTGTTGGCAGAGATAAGCAACTTTTGAACCTATAACTTTTCTTGTGCTGTGGATGTATTAGTTTTTTTTTTTTAGTGAAAGTATTAGCAGGATTGTTGTAATAAGTGGAGCACCACAGCGGCTCCCTGCGAACGAGGTCACGCTGACGAAGGGTCACGTGACTCAACATGCTAACCGCTGCTCCCGTCGCCATTACCTCATTGTCATGATGCTCGGCCCGCAAATGTGAACACAGTGCACCGGCTCCAAACAAAGCCACATTCTTGCCCTCGGTTATGTCACAGGCGATGAACAGATGATAGGCTCGGACAGGATCACCGATGGAGGGATGGAGAGGGAGGAGGAGGAGGGAGAGCCGGTGCGTCGGCTGCGATAGGAAGGGAGGGAATACGATGGAGGGGAGGGCTGAGCGATGGGAGGGAGAGGGATGGGCACGGCGAGCCAGTGAGAGCAAAGTGAAACCTCCATTAGTTTGACAGCTGCTTGCATGCACACCTATCTCCAACTGGCTTCCTACCTCCACTCCATCTCGACCACTCGCTCGTCTCTCTCTGACTCTCCTGAGCTTTGACAGTTCAAGTGGAAACTACGGGGTTTCAACGCTCTGCGCTGAGGTAGGACGCTTGATTTGTGATGCAGCTACACGACGAGCTCGACGGTTCCGATGCGTGGTGTTTTGTGAGATGATGCAAACGGGCAGGAGGGACGATTTCTTAGGAGCCAAATAAGTTTCCGTTTTGACAGTACATCCTCCTCGTTGTTTCTTAGCGGTTGTATAGAAATGATCTGTCAGAGTTGTGTTATTGTTTACAGCACCGTGATGCGTCTGTGAAATTTGAACTCGCAGAGACAAGAACGGAAAATATAAAAATGCGCTTGGATGCTACGTAGGAAACATCCCAACAAGTTTTTCTTTTAATCTTGTTTTCAGTTTTCTTCATCATATTTATCTAAGTTATTTGTCCGTCCTTTACCATATTTCTAAGTGTTATTTTTGTACGTTAAATCGCTGAAAAACAGATTGTCCTGTTCTCTTTCAGGACGAGTGCAAGTGACGCACAATGTCAGGTCTGGGTGTCTCTAATAACGCCTTTGTTCGTTACATCTGAACACAATAAGGATTATTATGACCCTAATGTGGTGTACACTTCATTTGGCAGGAACAAAACCCAGTCGCCCTCAGACGGTGCACAGCCAGGGGCGGGTAGGAGGAGTGTGTGATTGGGGAGGGAGGACATGGGAGATGAACAAAAAAATGGCCTACATGGTGGAGGAGCTTGTCGTCCGTGTGCTTGCGTGCCTTCGGCGGCCTGTCCTCGTGTCGAATCGGACAGCTGTCCTTCTGACAGCGAAAACTGCTGCATAAGAACTGAGTGTGCACATCAGCCACTTCACATCGCAGTCCTTCTGAGTGTGATGTAATACGAAGCCTGACATTTGAAAGTGGCACATCGACAATTGCACCTGACCTCTGGGCGAAGAGATGATAAAGGCACACGTTGTTTTACTGCAGCAGACGTGGGAATGAAGTGATAGTCAAAGCAGCATATCTTAAAAAGCAATAAAGCATTTTCTGTAGTACCTCAGCTTTATGCTGGCTGCTGCTGCTGCTGCTTGAGAACAGTGATGCTGCAGTGATGATGTCTTAAGGACAAGGTGCTGCAAAGGTTTCCGTCTGGGCCCCAACAGGCCACGCTGCTGCCTGTACAGTGTAACTGTGCCTCCGCCGCGTTATGTAAGCACCCCTCAGCAGCTCCAGGGTCAAACATGTGCATCACTGTGCCACTGCATCAGCATGAGACTGGGCCAGAGAAGAGCGCATACGCAGGCTGAGGAAGTCCCCAAAATAACTCTAATAATCCTCTAAAAACATCATCACCAGGGGCTGGACTGGCCCACTTGTAGCTCGCTGAAAAACTTGCAGCAACACACTGGCTGACTGCCAGTGTTTAAACAGGGCAGCCGTCCATTTCTCTGCCCCTCTTTATGTCTACGGATCTCACAGCTGCCACAACACCGTTAGTGATGCCGGGCCAAAAACCAATAATTACCGATGTAAATTATGTAGCTGCACACGGCGAGAGGCTACTGCAGCACTTCAAAGACTCATCGGAGTTCATAAACACATTCATATCGCAGCTTGTCACATCGCCATGCTTGTGGTGGACAGTCTCACACTGGAGGCAACAGTACCACGACTGCTTCTTTTATTTAGTTTTGGTGAGCAGGTTTCAGCCCAAACATGATGATAAAAGACAAATAAACTCCCAGAGTGCATTTGCTTTTCCACCATTAATCCAAAAGGCACTGCTGGAGAACAGAGTCGGTATTAATCGTGTGTTTTATTGCTTTGTTGTTGGTTTCTGTAGACAAGTGGGCTCTCAGAAGTAACCGAGAATGTTCTAGTGACTAAAATGGAAAAATTAAGACGTCGAGAAAGCTTGTATCTCAGTCTGTGAAAGAAGCCTGGATTGACGTTTTCATTGCTAATAAATTAGCTTAAAAAGAGCCGACCTGTCCTGTATTTAAATGGTGTTGATGTAGTTCAGTCTAGCAGTTCTCTCTCAGCATTCTTTTGCTCAACTCAGCTCCGGTGTGACCTCTTTGAATGATGACATAATGCCCCAAAACGTCAAGAGTGTGTATGAGCCAGCAAGCATTGATCAGAATAATCCCTCGGTTGGATGCTTCACACTGGATTTGGATGCATGGGTGTAGTTTGATATTTTGGCTTCTTGTCACAACCCAGATCTAATGTTTGGTTTGCAAAGGGGTGCAACATGTTGGCTGTATGTGGCAGTCATGTGCCGCTGTGGCGAGTGCTTGTAATATTTGCCTCTTCTAAAAGACCCTCTCTGTAGGGGTCAGTGGACCAGTCGCTGTGTTACTCAACCCCCCCAGTGTCAAAGGGGTTGCTTAGCTTCTATCAGAGCAGCAGTGACTCATTGAGAAGGAAAAGGCAAAGCAATGCCAGGTAGGCTGCACACCTTTGGCTCTACAACAAGAATGTGTTCTCGTTTTATATAGTTTGAGTTTGTCTCGGGGCAAGGGTGGAGAGCTGAGCCTGACTACAAGAACAGTGGGAGTGTGTTTCCCAGTGCTGAAGGAGAAGCATTACAGAAAGAACACATCTAGAGAGCAAATTCACAGTGAATTGTCTTCTCAGGTATGTCTTTTTTTAATGTGTATGTGTTTTAAGTTGTTTCTTCTGGTTTCAAAGTCATTTGTTTGAATTGTTGTGTGTTATCGTGAATCTTCTGCCTTTCTTGCGTAGTTTCAGCACGTTTCAGTTTGTGGGAAACGAAGTCGGGATTCCTTCTTGGCAGCAGAATTTTCACTATCTCACTCAGCCTCGTCTACTCTGAGGTTTAATGGATTTTAGAACAGTAGAAACTTCAAACTGTAAATAGAGAATAGTGCCTTTGCTGTGGATTTTACGCCACGTGGTATCGTTGTCCAGTCGTGTCCAGCTGATGGGACGGCTGCATCCTGAGAGGGAGGATTTTGTGAAACACTCGCGCTCTCTTCCACATGCAAATCAGCTTATGGAGAAAGCAAATGTTGGGTAACGATAGAACGCTGTTAGATTTAATCTCCTTCCTGCCTCCCAGGATGCATCTGCTGTGCACAACACCGAGCGTCCTTGTAAGGAAAATAACCTTCAGAGCTTAAAGGTTATTTAGAAAGCATGTTTACATAAATAGTGCTGCACTCGTTTACATCCTGTATGTTCCTTCACATGTTAAACACTGTGTGGATTAAATGCAAATTAATGGTCAGGGACTGAATGGCACGTTATCACTATTTCAGATGAGTGTGTTGCTATGGGAGCTGGTTTCTGCTGTCAGAACCTTCATGTCTGCCGCTCACACAAACCCACACACACAAGCAGCAGCACTCGCTCTCCCTGTTGGACAAACACTCCTGTCTGTTTGAGTCTAACTCAGGAGGCGTGCTCAGCTCACACCTATGTGACATGCGACACAACAGGGAGGCCCGGCGTGACTGCTTCGAATTGAACTTGATCTCAGTCAAGCTCAGTTGTTGTCTGCAGGGTGCACCTGCTCAGACAGGGTGGTTCTGGTTAAGGCAGTGTTGTTGTGTTGCTCAGTCAAACTATATTCAGACTTACTGGAAGTAGTCTCAGTGTGTATGGCTACCATGTTTGCTGCACATCTCACACAGTTTTCACGTTTCCTTCCACTGTTTGCGTTCCCTGTCAGCAACCTACACGCTAAAATTGGCAAATTTTGCTGAATGCAATATGGTAGCGATGATTTTTTTAGTGAATCCGGCATTTTAATGACGGTGCTCACCTCCCAGCATGCAACCCAAACGAATTCCCCCGTCATGATTTTGTTGGGGTGTTGTTGGTCTGGCTATACGAGACAAGTTAGATCACCACGATCTCAGCTGTTATTGGATGGATTGCCATGAACTTTTCTCATTCGTGATCCCTAAAGGAGGACTTTGGTGATCTCCTGAGTTTCTTCCAGAACGATCATTAGGTTGGCTACCATTTCTATTAGCAAGTGTTAGCATGTAGGACTGTTTTGCCAACTCTTGGTTAGAACTAGGACGGATGAGGTGGGCAGGGCTCGTTTGTGATATAAGAGGAGGATGCTAATGATGCTAATGTGTGTATCAAGTCCAAAGTTGAGACCTTGGACTCACTGCAGGGTGTAACTTTGACAGCGTACCAGTCATTGTGCAGAGTCATTGGTCTATGTTGATCCATATAATGTAGACTTCACGTCACATCGCTGCATTCTCAGAAAAATGTAAAAGTATAGCTGAAATGGGAAACAAACCAGCTTCAGGAATGAGTTCAACCTTTAATATCTTGACTGTCTTATCAACAGTCGCTGTAGTTTTATGAGGTTTACTTCAGTGTGTTTTGCCCGGGCAGGCTCATCTCTGTGTTGTTCATACTCACATGATTACATGACGTGCCTGTTACGTAATAATGAGAGAGCTTTACAGACGCAACCTGCTGCTTGTCACTAGGTGGCATAGAAGGCTAACATAACTCTACATGCAGACCGCTCCACTGTCTCATTTTAGAGTGTTTGGTATTCCAGCACACATTTACTTTATCCTCCTGCCAAATACAACTTCTGTACAATATGTTGGTGAAATGACATTCTCTTTCATTTCTATACTGACCTTTTTTTCTGTTAATTTTCTCCATAATTTTGCACCCAATGCGTAAGCCAAAATAAATACAATCACACCAACTGCTTATGTTCCTCTGTATCTCCCCACCCTCTCTTGTTTTACACAGAATGTAAATACCATCTTTGTTCCTGTCTGTTTACCACAGGGTGAAATATTTAGTCTCGTGTCGGAGGAGGAGCGAGGTGTGACCATCGCCGAAGACAGCAACGACATTTACATCCTCTCAGGGGATCAGCATCCGGACCAGCTCAGCCCTCCCTCGTCGCTGCTCTGCACCGGAGACAACAGCAGCGAGCAGAGCTCCTGGCAGACAGAAAGCCTACCTGTGTCTCTGGCCGGCCACGAGTCCTGGGCACATGTTGGTATGATGGATCCTGAAGACATCAAGAGCTTGGACAGCAACGAGGGCGTGGCTCTGGCTGAGGAGCGCAGCGAAAACAACTCCTCAAACTCGGACATTGTGCACGTCGAACGCGAGGAGGCGGAGCTGCTGGAGGAAGGCGGTGAAGTCAGTGTGATAGAAGAAAGCATGATGAGCGTTTTAGGCACCGAGAGCGAGCTGGCCGAGCTCAGGGAGGAATTCAGGGACCAGACTCCACCTGTTCCAGCACCGGATAAGACCGGCTTCACACCTCCGGCTTCCCTGATCTCATTAGAGGAGCCGGTTGTGATAGAGACACCTGCAAGCTTGTCTGCAGAACCTTCCCTCATCTCCTCAGAACCAGAGCTGCCTCCCCCTGCCCCTGAAGCTGCTGCCCCTATTCCCGCTGAACCAGAACCTGCAGCACCTTTGCCTGTTCCTGCAGTAGAACCAGAGCCTGAGCCAGAACCAGCTGCTGCCACTGCCCCAGTGCCTGCTGAGGTGGCAACCCCGCCTCTAGCCAAGGAAACCCCACCAGCAGAGCCTGAACCCACAACAGAACCAGCTTCTGAACCAGAGCAGGAGCCAGAGCCCGTCACAGTGCCTCATGTACCAGAGGAACCCCAGCCAGAACCAGAGACTGCAGCAGAGCCAGACGCCACTCTGAGTGCGCCTCCAGTCCCAGATGCTGCAGAGGCTCCTGTCGAAGCCCCTGCTGAGGAGGCCCTAGTGCAGCCAGCGCCAGCATCAGAGCTCCAGGTCCTGCTTTATGGAGGCGCTGCGTTGGCGGTCCTCGCTGCTGCTATGGCATACGGTGTCATAAGGTTCAGGAGGAAGTAGAGTTAAAAAATAAAAGGTACCATCCTCACGGGAGGAGAATGCAAATCATAAGGTAGAAGTAATGTATTCGTGTCCACATGGTGGGACTTTCCTTACAAATCGTATTGGATTTATCAAATGAGATGTTTTCTTTTTTAAATCTAATATACTTTTGAAGGTTTTAAAATCTGTGAAAATCCCTCCCCGCCTACCGTTACCCCTCCCAGCAAACCAAAACTTCACCTTATCCACAACCCTGTGCGGATTCCTGGCTGCTTCACTCGAGCAGGTGCTAAACACAGAAAGGGGAAAACGATGCACTCCACTGTACTTCTTATTTTCTCCGTGGTTCTGTTTTGGATTCACTTGCAGTTTTATCTTTAAGTTCTCTTTGACTCCAACCTTTTATATCTTAGCTCTCCTCTGCTGGTTTTAGTTTCTGTCTTGTCTGTGCCGTGTGGATTTTTTTTGTACCGTTTGAGTCAGCGGACCTACGTGGAAATTTCACTGGAAGCGCTCGCGTAGATAAAGTAAACCTCAAAGTCCACAAGTACTGCTGCTGTGTGATTTTCTAGCTCTTCCTGTTTCTATGCAGCAAAGTGGCATTTCTGTTTCCCCTGTAACTGTGATGATGATTATTCTTCCTCTGACAAACAAACCAAATGTAGGATATAGAAATAAAAATCTGAATGATTCATTTTATTTAAATTTGAACCCACAAAGTCCAGGTATATGAGGTCAAATTGTTTTTTTTTCTCCATATGACACAAGGGATCTGTGTCACTCCAAGTGCTGTGTGTTTAAATGTTTGTGTGGAAACATTTAAGATTTTGCCCAAGGATGGATGAAAGTATTTAAATGTGCCCTGAGGTACAGCACTAATATACGTCAGGCACTCTGGTGTACTTCAAGATGCCAACTCGTTCTTTTGCGTGTAGATCTGACGATACTGTGAATCCTGAAAACACTTTATCACAGCAAGTAAGGAGGCAGCAGTCCTCTGTAGTGCAGGTTTCTCGCTGCTGCTTTGCTGTTGCATACATACGGTACGTGTGATCGTAGAATGTCGTCAAAGTTACCTGCTTCCTTTTAACTGCACTACAGTTTGTTTGCTGAACAAAAAGATGTCAACAAACCAGTGAGCGGTGATGACTCTAGAAAAAAGGCAGGAATGTGACCGCTGCACATGAATTCAGTCTTCCCTCGACTACTAATGCATTTCGTGTTCAAGAAGCATCACCTTTTCAGCCAGGCGTCTTTACTCCTCCGTGTTTCGCCCTGTAACTTATTCAACCACTGCTCCCGAGCGTAGAATATTTCTGACTAGTTCCATTTGTGTGCACCTGTCCCAGTGACGGGATATGAACTACACACCCTCCCCAAGTCAGTCGGCCGCTGTGAGGTACTGAACCTGGATTCTTCAGTGACAATCAAACTTGTGTGATCCAGATTTACACACATGCTTGGAGAATGGGGTTGCAGACTTGGCTTCCAAGTAAGTGTAACCGAAATAAAACTGATGCAGATACACTAAACCTCCTGTGGTTGCTCTGAAATTACTTATTTGCATTAATAAGCTAGAAAAACGTCTGCAATTACTCGCGAGCCAATCCACAGTGAAGATCTTAAATGTGAGCTGGCATGGTGGAAAGTCCCTCTGAGATTAAATTTAGAAGGAAAATTAGTTACCCTGCCCTTTGAGAAGTCGTGTCAGTTAGTCGTTAGCGCCGTCTTTCAGACATAATGATTAAAGAGGTGATGAAACGTGGTTCACACCAACACGCATCGGTAAAAAAAACAACATGAATGACTGTTACAATGTGGTGACGGAAAGATGTTTGACGGAGAAAGGATGTTTTGATGTCTGTGATACAGTATTACACACGGGAACACTCGTCAACTCAAACTTAACACCTGCTTTCAAAGGGAAGCCGTTACAGAGCAGGATGAACATCAAAAGGTCCAAAACACGGCACTGTGTATCGTGAGTTTCCTCCGACATGCTGTTTGAAATGAGAATAATAAAAAGGTTCAACTGTTGTCAAATCCTTCCGTGGTGGTTTATTTTTCTTTGTTCACAAATACAAAACACATCTCCAAAGTATTTTAAGACTGAACGTAAATTCTATGAAACCATTTTTTTTCTCTTCCAAGTTACAAAACATGCCGACTTCATATTTCTCCCAAAATCAAAGTGATTCAATACAAAAATAATCACGTATTTTCAAGTATAAAACGAAAACATACACTTTTTATGCAAGAATAAACGGAAAAGGTACAATTCAAAGTACATAAAGAAAAAAATTCAAGTGTCGAAACTCAACTTCCATTTTCTATACAGAACACAAATAATTCATCCATTTCCTTTAGTTAGTGAAGTGTTCGCTACCGCTGTTGAGCTCATTTCACAGTCGGCTGGTCATGAGGAGCAGCGTGTTTCAGATTCAGCCGTCCTGCAGCACCCGCTTTCACTGGTATTTCCTCTAAATTGCAATTATAAAGTCACCTGGGGCCTGCACGCCAGATGTACTGCAGCGCGCTGTTGAAGAGGCCAATCAGCATCCGTGGCGCCTGCTCGCACACTCCCCTCACCAGAGTGAGCGTGAGGGCCACAATGACCCGCTCCTGGGGCAGATGCTCCAGACCCAAGCCCACGCCCTGCCTCATGACCCGCTCCACCTCGTTGGCAAGGAAATACGTCCACTGCTGGAAGTCAGAAACAGACACAGGGATCAGCCGGCACACGGAGACAAACGTGTTTGGTTACTGAAACTATCAAGACCTGATCTGACTTGCCTCAGAGGGGCAGACTTGTATGTTCCTGCTCAGGTTCTGGGTAGCCCGGGCCACCACATTGTGTTCGAGCTGGGCTGCGACTTCCCTCAGGTCCTCTGCAATCCCACGGAGGGCTGCTGCTTCTTCACGGTCCTCTGCAGACAAACAAAATTGCATCAGTCCACCTTAGTCAGCATAAGCTTTACTGTTTCTATATGGATTCACTGCTACAAACTGAGCAGTGAATCTTTGACATCACACACTTCCTCTCTGTGGCACTAACAGTCAGTGTGAAAGCGATGAAAGCATCAAACGACACAGAAAAGTCACTTCCTGCTTTCACTCTAAGTCACAAGTTGTTTTGTTGCTGTGGCCACTAATGAGATGCACACTCTGACTTTGTCAGAAACAGCTGATCCGATGCTAAAATTGACACTGCTTGTGTGAAACGGACTCCACCAAAGTTAAAGCAGTTCTGGTGCCGTTTACAGTAAACTACTTACGAGGCCACCGCAGTTCCGCTACGGGCTGGATCCCGTGTAGGAGCTCTGTGATGCTGCTGCTGCTGCAGGGCAGGTGACCGTCACATTCAAGGCCTTCATCCTCCTGACTGTCTGGCCAGTGGCTGTTGGAGTTGATGTCCTTGGTCAGATTTAGGTGCGTGCCCAGGGAATTGAGCTCCTTGCTGTAGTCTGAGTCTCTACAGTCTGCTTGAAGGAAGGCCAACATGACAAGGGAGGCGTTCTGCCCATTCTGGAGCGTCTCCATCGATAGTCAGTCCGGGCCCTTAAAAAAAACAACAACAAAAAACAACGACAATAAAGTTAACAAAAGTTTTTTGCTTTAACTTTTCGACAGTTTGGGGCTAAACACAAGACTCGAAAGTAACTGAGGATATTTACAAGCTAATGTAACTTTAAGAAAAAATCAAAATTAAAACCCACGAGAAGCAAAAGTGTAGGCAGTTAGCCGCTTCTCGTCTTGTAAGAAACACAAGTTTAAGCTAATGCTAACGGTTAGCTTCAGCGCATCAAAGTTAGCTTCAGAAAAAAGTAAAACCGGCGACGTTAACTACCTCCAAATCTCTGTCGAAGCGAAGACTCGTTTAGTTGCCTTTCCTACGTTAACTTCACATTAATGGGTTAGTGATGCGCCACAGACCGGCGTCCCGCGGTGTCTTACGAAAACAACAGCTCCGACCCGCGGCTCTCTGGAAGTCTGGAGGCAGGACGTGGATGCGTCATGGTGCGTTCAAACACCCTCGGAAATCGTCCACTCAAAACGCTACGTTCACTTGACGTCTCAATCTAACTAAAATTCACCGCGATGAATGCTCACAAACTAAAAAAAAACGTCAGATAATCTCAGTGGGAGACTTAAACCATGCTCTTTTATCATTGAAATGTAAAATAAAACTACTCTTTAATACCTACGTTGCCAAAACAAGAAAGAATGCATTGTATGCACGGCTCCCATTTTATTTGTTCAATTTTTATGTATTTATACGTTGTGCCTTACTATTATGTCACTTTAGGAATATGTGACTTTTATAAAATGTCTAAAAATATGACTTAAACTAATGTTGTCTACATGTATAAAAACAATAAACAATGGAGTCACGTGACCTGCAAGGAATGTAATATTTACAGGGTCATCACAAACTGTAAATATAATAAACATTAAAAGAAAAATCAAAGTTAAATATGTTCATATCATCTTTGTGACTCATTCATGCTTCCTTGAGCAAACATTCAGTTGACTGCAGCCAGAGATAAGAACAGCTCAACACTGGAAAGTCCCTTGTGCTTTTTTTTTTTGTTTGTTTGGATCATACAGTAGGCTAGACACTGGCCAGACAAGTGGAAAACACAAGACTTGACATCACATTAGAAAAAAAAGAGACATACACTTGATAAAACGTTTAAAATGTTTATTTACAGCTTAAAAGAAAATAAAAGAAGTCTTTGACCAATCAAGCACGTCGCTCCACAGCAGTTAAATGATGTTGAAATCACGTCTAGCAACGCTTGAGTCAGATTTTTCCTCCCAAGATCAGTGGTTTTGGTTACATCAGTACACACACATTCCATGTAGTGATTTCTGGTATTAATCCTGCTGAGGGAATCATATTTTTCTGCCTCATTCTGCATTTAAACCACAATGTTGTTGCAGAAACAGCCACATTACAGCAAAACGGACCAGCTTCACATCGTCCCATCAGTCTCCGTATCCTGAGCAACCGAAGCTCACGGATCGTCCCGTGTTCCTGCCAACAAGCCTCCTCCCTGTTCCCGGTAGAGACCCCATCTTAGCTGCAGGTTTCAGCCCCGGAAAGAGATTCTGCTTCGGGGACAAAGCTGCCTGACGAGCCTCCTGGAGCTCTCTGCGGAGAGGAACATGAAAATGTGAATGCTTCTGCAGTGTGCAAAAGGTGCCAAGACCAATTTGTAAGGCTAAGTCTGATGAACAGATCAGCAGTGACCACTCAAGCATTGTTACCACATTGGGTGGTTTCCAATCAAATATGAAACTGCACCACCTACTGGTCCTACTGAGGAAATCCAGTTTATTAAGGAAGCCTTGGAAAGCGGAAGTTCCCCAATTTTCACGCTTTCACTTGGAATAAAGCTTCCATCTGGGTTTTGTACTTTCCCAGCTTGCTGTATATGCCACGGGAGATTTTGAAGTACTTTGAAGTATTTCATAGGAACTACACAAAATATTTGTATATACACGAAGAGCAAAGAACCTTTGTTAGATTATCACAAACATCACAAAGCTTGTTCTGGGAGTCAAACCCTAATGATGGAATGACCTGAAAGCATCATGCTTGTGTAGCTTTAGCAGGTTTTATTAATCCTCAGTTATTCCCCCTCTTACTTCTCAAGCATGGCTGTCCTGAACTTCTCCACATTGAGCTCTCTACGTAGCTCAGCCGCCAGCCTCTCGGTTCCCTTTCCCCTCAGGACTGTGTGCTTGCAAAGCTCCCTGGCAGATGGACGCTTTGTCGGGTCTGGATCCAGCAATAGCTGACAAAACCCCCCCCGCCCACAAAAAAACAAGCATTTTCAACAAGATATTCCAGTTGGTATTTATACAGGTGGCAGCTCAAAACCCAATCTCTTTATGTGTGTTAAAACATTAGCTCAGTAAAAGGATTACCTGAAGCAAACCTCTGAAGGAAGGTGAGAGCTCCTGTGGCAGTTTGGGGAGTCGCCCCTGTCTCAGATTGTGCCACTGATCTCCATTTTGTGGCATAGGAGGAGCCCCTGCTGCCAGCAGCAGTGTGAGGCCCAGAGCAAATATGTCCGCCTTGGGGAGGTGGCTGTAATCCTGGAGAGCAGAGAGACGACTGAAATGAGACATGAACACTTGGAACAAAGCAAAATGGGACGCGTCTATGCTTTTGAGAGGTTATCCTGTAAGCAACGTTTTTACCTCCTGCAGGACCTCACTGGCCAGAAAGCGGCTGTCCCCCTCCTCAACTTGCGGACTGTTGCTTGATGTCACATGACCCAGATCGCCTGTGGAAAACAGCAAAAAAAGGAATAAATAAATAAATAAATCAGATTTGCTGGCAAAAGGATGAAAAGCAACACTTTGTCCAGTGTCTAATCTAATACCAATTTTGTAAATGACTCCAGCTGAGGTGCTTCCATCATCTTCCTCCTCACTCTCCCCCTCACCCGGTGCACTTGTGCTTGGATGCTCACAAATGAATATATTACCTAAAAATAAACGCCAACAAAAAAAAAAACAGGGTGTATTTTGAGGCACATTTAAACAATGAATGCATATCCACGGTGAGAAGCGGGGAGACGTACTTGGTTTGATATCCAGGTGTACAAGGCCTGAGCTGTGGATGTATTTTAGACCCATAGACACCTGTAGCAGCAGATCTTTCAACTCAGCCTCCGTGAAAAGCTCACCCTGCACCTCCTTCTTCACAATGGCATCATTCAGACTTCCACCTGAAAAACACACGTGGGATGATGGTAGCAAACCACATCATTCAATGTCTTACTTCAACATATTTAGAACTAGTTATTTGATATAACACAAAACCTACCGTCACAGTATTCATTCTGAATAATCATGTGATCATCCTCTGCCCATGCTGAATAATAGCGAACAACATGTGGGTGGTGTCCAAGAACAGCGTGTGCATAAACTTCCTTTAGGGCCAGCTGCCTGAGAGGACATAAAAGCACGGATACTAATACATCTGATCAATCAAGGCACCAAAATAAAAAGGTGGGCTGATCCATTTCTGGCAGAAGCCGACGTAACGCTGACTCACTCGTTGGCAGAGCCTGCCAGGGGTCGCCGAGAGCATTTAATGGCGTACAAGCAGCCATCCAGTCTCTTCACACACTTGTAAACTGCCCCGTACTCGCCCACACCGATGCAGCCGAGCTCCAGGAACTCGCTCTCATAGCGTGACAGCATTAAGGGTTGGACGGCTCGTCTCTGCCAAATAAACAGATGGAAGGCCTCGTGGTTAAACCAAAGACACTGCTAAAGAAGGAGCACACGTCACGCTGCTCAGTCACGAGTTTGTCTACGGTGAGGAAGATCCGAGGGTTTTCTTTGATGCGGCACCAAATATGGTAATACTTCCACAAGGAAAGTGTTTTTGTGAACATTGTGACGGCAGCTTTGTTTTTTTTAGTTTTAGTTTTTTTTCCTGGAGATTCCTTTAGAGAAATCCCGGAAGTAGGACTGGCAGCGTGTAATTTTGGACAAAACAAGAAGTGCGGAGGCAGTCGTAGATGACAAAGCCTGATGATGAAATCATATCAGGAGGCATCTGAGAGGGAGGGTTACTTTCACCATAAGCAGTGATAAAAATAGCCGTACCTTTGGTGGGAGAAAGGCTTCATCATCCTCTTCAGATGACGTTAGGCTGTGTTTCAACCTGCGAGACGGAAAGGGCATTTAGACCATTATATATTCCAAACAAGGCTGCAAAAGTCAGGTTTCTTGTTCAAACATGCCTCTCAGTGTGGCACCAACACCACAGTACAAATAAGACAGACTAGTTTCCCTGTGATCTGACACACACACATTTTTTCAAACATCACATCCTGAACTTAATCTACTAGATTCAAAGAAGACATTGACACCTGCGTCCATACTCGTCGTCATCGTCACTCCTGTTGTTGCCCTGCTGCTTGCTGTTCCTGCGCACTGTGTCCGGGGTGAAAGGATTCACGTTGACAGCTGAGGCAAAACGAAGAGACCTCTGATGGCGACTGATCTTAATGCTGGAGGAAGGCAGGGACGACTTGGACAGCAAACTCTACAGGGAGAGGAAAGAAAAAAGACTCACTTTTACATACAGGAAAAAACCTAAAACACAACATGTAATATTTTATTAAATTCTATCCATTCTTTTATCTAACATAGAGGAATGAGCAATTGTTGTTCCAGCACACAGTAGCTCTACAACAGAACAGACGTCATAAACCAATCAAGGACATGCTATATTGGTGGTGGTAGTCTACACACTGATAGGTGAGTCATAGACCAGAAATCACAAGTCGCACAAAGACTTAATGAGGTTCTCGATGCTGTTTGTGGACTCTTATCCTGAACTACTTGGTGAGACGTCTTGGGAGACAAGACCACGCTGTCAGACATCCAGAGCCTCATGTGGCAGATTGACTGTCACACCTGGAACAAGCTCTGAAACTGTGGACATTTAAGTACCTGGCTACAACCTGAACAGTCAAGTCAGCGTCCACTAAGCCAACAGCCAGTTCTCATGTTGCTCTTGTCATCTGTGGCATCGTGTCATTTGAATAAAGCAGCATTTTAAGGTGGCCTTTTATAGCCCCTGGTCAAAGGTACTGTGTACCACTCCTGCTATCTGATCGATGTCCTTTAAAGCCACACCTGGCACAGGTGTGGATTAACTCCATCGTGAAGACTTTCTCACCAACCCAACAGCTCAAAAACTTTATGCACAACTGGCTAACTTTAACCCCTTTCTAATCAGAACAACAGACATTAGATTGTTTGACTTTTTCTCTAAAAATGCTGCATTTATATACATATATATACTCCAAGAGCAGAGACAGAGGTTCACAAAAGGCAGCCATCCCTAAACGATTGCCCACCTTGGGAGTGTTGGGAGAGTCACAGAGCCTCAGGCCTCTCCAGGCTGCGTAAGGTATGGGGCTGGTGCGCTGCAAAGGAGAAGAGAAGGTGCTGCTTCTGCTGCGGTGGCGCTGCACTCTGGGCGTCCTGCAAGCAGAACTGGGACTGCGGGTCCTGGGACTGCGGGTCCTGGGACTGTGGATCCTGGGACTGGGGATCCTGGAGGTGCAGTAGTCTGAGTTGTTGTCGCTGCTGCTCCCCTCCTCATCGCAGCGACAGAAATCCAGCTGCTGGCTGATCTCGTCGAACAACATCGCCATGCTTGGGACCTGAGTTTTAGGAAAAGGTTTTTCTTTGTAATACTCAGCCCTACACTTTGACAGCACAAATGCTAAATGGTTTTAAACACTGGTTTCATGTCTATTATGAGCCCTGCATTTAATGCAACTAACAGATAAGCTGCTTCACTCCCAGCCTCTCATCTGGGAGGTTTACATCACTGGTAGCTCGCTGTAGACTCCCACAACCACACATCCTGTTATTTATCAGCCTATATTGTTGGTTTACTTATGAGTTTTTCTTTTAGGACATCATTTCATGAAGGTATGACAACTCAAACTCAGCACTCCAGACAAGCTGTGACGTTATTTTAACGTCCAGTGACGTAAAAAATAAAAATAATAAAAGTAATAATGCAGATATTTCGACTTAATTTCGACTTTACTCACGAATAAATCGCCTTCCACATCACCTCCTCTGCCACCACCACGCTTGAATCTCGCGCCAAAGACTTCCTGTTTAAATAAATGATGTCACCGGGTTAAGGCATCCAGCCCTCTGATTGGTTGAGCGGTTCCCAAACTTCACATTGTGCTAAAGTGACTTTTAACTGCAAAAACAGCTTCTACTGAAATATTAAAATCTATTTATGTGGTAATAGTGTGATACTGTCACAAAAATACTACAAAATCACATTTTAATGAAATAAAATGACATGAAAATGCGATAAAAGATAATAAACTGAAGTGAAGTTCTAGTTATTATTGGGTGCAGGTTTAATCAGTTTATTGATAAAATATGCAAAAATACACAGAGCATATTTAATAAAACATAAAAATAGGTCACTGTATGAAATAGTAATATAGACACGTGGGCGGAAGTCAGCTGCGTCATCACAACAGTGAGACGGGAGGAGGAAAAGCAGTCCGGCCGTGGATGTGACACGCTTACAAATACATAGAAAACAACCGAGCGAGCAGCAGGCAGTCATGATCCGGCTCCAGCAGCGCGCCTAGCCCGCTCGGAACCACAGGACGTCGGAGCTTGTTTGTCTTATTTTCCTCCTTTTTCCTTCTTCCGTGTCCTCGGAGGCGGCAGCAGCAGCAGCAGCAGAACCAGAACCATGGTGGAGCAGTCGGATCGAGCCCCGCTGCTGGACTGGGAGGAGATCCCACCGCCGGACCCAAACCAGGCGACCCAGCCGCCGCCTCAGCCGCCCAGGGAGGAGGACGCGGCGGCGGAGAAAAGTTCGCAGCCGGCCGGGAGGCGCACACCGACGGGCATTGCGGCTGGCACGACTGGGTGGAGCAGCACCACCACCAGCACCACCAACACCATCACCTGCAGCCCCACACGGAGCCTAACAGCTGTTGTTGCCAGCGGGGACGGAAGCCCGAGGCGTCCGCGCACCGAGCTCTCCGGCTGGGATCGCCCGGAGCCTCTCGGCACGGATCGGAACGTTCCCTTCCCCGGCCTGTCGGTGAGGGATCAGTGGGAGGAAAAGGACCAGATCGTGGCGGTGTTTGTGGTCACCTTTGATACGAGATCAGGTGAGCAGGCAGAGCTGTCGGATCTTTTATGATGCGTGATTAAGACGCGCAGACATGGACTAGATACGCGCTGGAGTCATGTGTCCGAGTTTGGGCCTCACAATGTTCCCGAGTGGACCGAGAACATAACAGGAGGCAGAGATTAGACTGATGCACTGCAGCCACTTTGTTCTTTTTGAATATCTGATGTTGTAGATGTTTGGTTAAATATTCTGTTTTTGTGATTTCTATGAGATTTTCAGGCAAATCCCAGCAGAATAATCTCATAATTAATCCAATCAGGTGATGTTATCTCCATCTGATGTGCTTTATTTCAGTATATTGAGTCAGACAGTTCTCTGTTTAGATTCACAACCCACAATAATGAAATAATCCTCATCATCACGATGGGGGAAATCTGTCCTAAACATCTTGTTGTTCTTCCTGCAAGCTGTCAAACGTACTGTAGAGCTCAGGTGTGGCGAATCGTACCCACAATGAATCCATAATTGTAAATTAACTGTAGTGTATGTAATAGAAATGTATGAAACAGTTCATCAAATGCGCCAAAGCACAAGATGTTTCAGCTGCTTGTGAGAAAGAGGTCAAACAGTTACAGGAGCTGAGTCACAGCTTTTACTGTCCCCGACATGCAGAGTTAGAGGAAGCAGGCAGGATGAAAGTAGACCGCATGGGAAGTGACTTATGCTTTATTATGTGTGTGTGTGTGTGTGAATGGCAGGGAATATGGTAGAGTGGTGCCTGCCTCACGACATGAACCTAGACGGAGTCGAGTTCAAGTCAATGGCCAGCGGTTCCCATCGGATCACCAACGACTTCATGTACGTCCTCCCACCAGGCATGAATCCGAGCGAGTCTGCTCAATCCCAGCCTGAAATCTGCTGCTGCTCTGTGTTTACTCCTCTGTTGTTTCCCCTCTGGCTAGATATTTCCGTAAAGGCTGTTACTTCGGGCTGGCCTGTTTCGCTAACATGCCTGTGGAGAGCGAATTGGAGCGAGGAGCGAGGATGAAGTCTGTGGGAATTCTGTCTCCCTCCTACACGCTCCTTTACCGCTACATGCACTTCCTAGAGAACCAAGTCAGGTAAGAAGACATGCTGTGTGTTTTGTTCTCCTTCTTCCTTTACATCAGCATATTCTGTTTACCTTGTGTATTTCTCACGCAGCCCGTCTTCACAGGTGTCTCTGTATGTGCCTGCCTCCTACCCTTCCTGCTTTGTTTAAAATGTTCTCATCTATTAAACATGAACCCAGAGTCCCGCTTACAGCTTTTGTCACAAGAACCCATTGACATGCAGTTCTCTCTCTTTTTTTTTTTTCGTATTAAGTCTAAGCACAGAAGTGAAAGAAACCCTGACAGCATCTTTTCTCCTCTGTTCTGTAACGCTGCTCCTCTGCTTCAGTCTGACTCAAATTCTCATTGAATATGTATAAATATATGACACAACCGCAGTTGTGGGTTACAGAGACAAGTGGATCTGTCTCAGCGGTGGCCGTGGTAGCTGTGATGGCACTTCAGATGTTGTTAGAAATCTGTTAAACGCGAGCACCAAAAGGTTGAAGTGTCATTAATGTACTGCGGCTGACCGCAAATGATCCCAGGAAGCAATTTATCAATAAGCTGTGGCTACTAACCAAGCACAATGCGTAATCTTGCATTATGGATGACCCGAACGCTGTCAGATGCTGACTGCACAACTCAAACTCTACGCAGACTCCCCTTTGCTGTGCATGACAAACAGTGATTGAGCGATTAATTACAGATGCAGGCTACGGCGCGTTAGCTCGGCAGGAGCTGTGAGCTTCCGCAGGAGAGCAGCTCAACCACATGATGAATATGCAGCCAGCTCAAAATTGGATCAAAGACGTGTGATTTCATTACATGCACTAAAGCAAGCTTCGTCTGCTTCATTACACAAATCTGAAAAGACTTGAATGACTCACACCTGACCGTTTATTCTGCCTTTATTTCGCTGCCTTGCAGACACCAGTTGCAGTGTCCGGGCCAGTACTCGCCACTAGAGGCCTTCTATGAGGACAAGAAGGCCGTTCTGCCCCCGACAGGAAACGGCCTGGTCACCGCCTGTCCGACCTGGAGCGTCACCACCATTAACCGCTGTATGCACCCAGAGATGAAGGTCTGAATCCACCAGAGCACACTTATATCACCGATGATGCCACATTTGTTCATTTAGTCATTTATCTGATATCATTCAAAGCCCTGATCAGCCTCTATGAAGCACAACCAGAACACACAGTAATGACAACATGATGGCACACAAGATAAATAAAGTACAACAAATGTTACTAAAATAAAGGAAAGGAAAGAATGTAGAAAAATATACTCTTTAATGTCAAAGTGAAAACTGATTTCTATAAAGTAATGTCAAGTAATGGTTGACCAGTGTCCATTTTCAGGCATCTTCTTAACATCTGGCTTATCTGATTGCAAAAACAATTAAATTTAACACAGACAGATTATTTAAATAATACTTTGCCAAGTACCTTTCTCTATATTTGAATTATGCTTACATTCATACATTAAAAAACAAAAACAAACAAACAAACTTGTCCCCCAAAAATCATCCCAAATATTGCAAATCCTCTCTCATACCTTCTCATGCTCTTTAGGAATTCTGGTGTTATTCACTATAAAATCCCAAATAGCCCACCAGTAGTTTCTTTCTTCAACAGATAAATTAATTAAATTTCAGCATAAACATCACATGTTGTCCTACTTCTGAGCTCACTGTGCCACTTTTGGAGGAGTGATGTTTTAGCCTCTGTTTGCTTGGACCAGTTCCACTCCTGTGTGAGATAAGAGATAAGACAAACCACAACCATCTAATGTAAACACAACCTGCAGAACCCAAGGTTACCCAGACACTCTCACATTATGCAGTCTGAGCTGATAATTGTACATTATTTGACTGAGTTTAGCTTCTTTACCTTCTGTTGGCCACTACTACGATTACAACATTGCACTGGAGGCTTGTTTATGGTAATCTCTAATAAACCGTTTTATTTCCTCATCTAGGATTTCTCCACTGCATACAAACTTTAGTTTTCTATTTTTCTACAGCCAAGAACTAATTTTCTAATAATACTTTTTGCAGAAGGCACACATACGTTGTCATATTGCTTTCTGTAGCCCTTCTTTTGTTGTAGACTCATGTTAAGTATCCCACATCTAAAAAAAAGGCTCTAATGTCACCACTTCTTCCCTGCAGATCACCCACCCGGCTGGATGTATGTCCCAGTTCATCCAGTTTTTCGGGGAGCAGATTATGGTTTTGTGGAAGTTTGCGCTGCTTCGAAAGCGCCTCCTCATCTTCTCTCCTCCACCTGTAGGTGTGGTCTGCTACAGGGGTGAGCAGCTTGAACACACGTTTTCACACTCTGAGCCTTTTCAGTGCTGCTATTGTAGCTACAGCAAGTGTTATATGATGCAAATCTGTTACCACATAGACAATAAATAATCCTACACAGAAACCTACAGCATATGTATTATATATTTAATTCTATTTTTACTCCTGTTCCCTCAGTGTATTGCTGTTGCTGCCTGGCTAACGTTTCTTTACCTGGAATCGGAGTTTCTGTGCCTGAATTGCGGCCTTTCTTCTACATCAACATCGCCGACATCACCGCCCTGGAGACAGAGATGTCCTACGTGGCCTGTGAGTGACGCTTTACCGCTTAAGTGACCGCCGTGTGTCTACAGAAAAGATTCCTCATGCGTGCTTTCATGTGTTTCAAGGCACAACGGAGAAGATTTTCGAGGAGAAGAAGGAGCTGTACGACGTCTACGTTGACAACCAGAATGTGAAAACCCACAGGAGCCATCTGCAGCCGCTGCTCAGACTGAATGCAGCAGATAAAGAGAAGTACAGGAAGCTGAGCGAGCAGAGGTACGCAGACAAACTGCTTCGTGTTTATTGTCAAGTAGTTCAATCTGTCTTGCATGAGCTGCTGTGTTTATAGACAGAATTCAAAAATCAGAAATTATGGTTTTGTTTTGTTTTGTTTTGATGGAGCTGGAACTATTATAGGATGTGATCCGTGCATGAACAGTTTGGAAAATGCATTTGTTTTGCTATCAAATAAAATATGCTGCAAAGTTCAAGTGGATGAAGATAAACACTGGCTAGTTTGGTTATTCTGAGGATAACATTCTGTCAGCAAAAACAGAGACATTTCATTTTAATTAATTCTGATTCTTTCCCCTCCAGGCAACTGTTGCTGTATTCTCAGGAGGTGGATGAAGACTGCACGTCAAATGAAGAGGATCTTTTCATTCTGTGAGTCCTTGACAAGCGCGTTCATCACTTGAGTCATCCTCAAACAAAAGAGCGTGTTTAAGAAGCGCAGTTTTACTTTTACTGTCGCCAGGGAGCCAAGTTTGATGTCTGTGGTTCTATTAATGTGTCTGTTGACTTCAGGTTCTTCATGGAGCTGAACAACCGCATCTTCCAGACGCTGTCGGACGTAGCAGGGAGCAGCGATCCCACCCTCACCGCTGAGCATGTGAGGGCCATGGGGCTGGACCCCCAGGGCGACCGCTCCTTCCTGGTCGACCTGCTGGAGGTGTACGGCATCGACGTGACGCTGGTCATAGACAACCTCTGCTGCCCCTGAACCCTCCCTGGTCGCCCTGGGAAACTTGGATGCCACTGGATTAACTGTGCCTGCAAGGCCTCTACACACACACACACACACACACACACACACACACGCACACACACACACAAAGACACTGAAGACACTGCCTCCACCCTGGGACTTCTTCTGTTGCCTGCTGTCCCCTCCTGGGTGTCTGTTTCCTGTTCGTGTGCGTCTCATCTGACCTGCGGACTGTTTTTCTACCACTGTGGGTGATGCGGACACTTGAACGTGGTGCACTGGTTCACAGTGGCTGATAAACACCTGCCTCGCGGACTGTGGCATCTGCGTGCCCTTACAGCCATTCTCATCTCTTGTCACTCACTCTGTACCGTTTTTTTTTTTTTCGTTGGAAATATGGATTTTCTGTGCTCGTTTGACTTTGATTCCGGCTTAAATAGCCACGGCTGAAGCACTGGATGAAAATTAAAAACCTTCATCGACTCTGGTCGTGACCGCCGGGTGACTGATTGTTCTCCGCTGCACTTGTTTCAGCACAGAAGTCATTTTCACGATCCTGCAGCTTCGGTGTCCACTCCCGAAGGATAGATTTATATTTAGGAAAAGCTTCGACTCCTGGAATTTGTGTGCTTCACATTCCTTGTTCCGGGAAACCAAACGGACTCAAAACTTCTGCTGTAATCCCACACTTGGATGTTTGTTCTTGTTCTGGAAAATTGTACAAATGAAAGCTTTCTGACCACTTTATTTGCCTTTCAAAAGGAAAGCAATAGGAGCCTGTGTGTTGAAAGTGTCACCCTTTTTGTATGTATATCCACCTCGCAGCCTCTTCTAGTTTTTGCTATTTCTTCACGACTGAAAGTGAGAGGTTGGAGCTAAATGCTGAAACGCTTAGGGTGCTATCCTCCTCGTAGGATCAATTAATGTGAAGCTAGATGAGAAGGGAAGACCTGCTATAAACGTTCACCTTTATGCACCTTCAGCACAGGGTAGGCCTGGTGGTGTTTCTGTGTGATGGACGCGCTCTGGAAACCGCTTTGTTCTGTGTTGTACTTTCTCGTTTGTCGTAAATCGGTGGAGGAATTTTCAATGAATGTGATTCTGAAACACTCTCTCATCATGAATGCTGCACCGCGTCCACCACCGGACGCTTTCCTGATGCACACACTCAAGCTTAACTGTAATTCTTTCCCCGTGCTGTGTTTTTGATTTAGAGTCTGAGCCAGCAAGTAGCTACGGGCCGTCAATACTTTTTGTTTTTATTTTAGTCCACTGTAGAGCATCAGTGAAAGATATTATCTGTCTCTCAGAGTGGAGGGTCCTCCACGGAGCCGTTTTTAGTTTACTTGTTGATCAGCTTCAAAGAGATGCTTCCCGTCTGTCTGTATCCACGACAAAGATCTCTTTGTGTGCGTTTTTGTCTGTTGATATCCTGACGAGAGCCGAGCAGAAGCTTTAACTCCTCCTCTGTGGGCAGATTCACAGAAAGGACGGCGTCTGTTCCAGCTGAGGGTTTCTCTCAGTCCTTTCATCGCGGTCCCATTGAGCGAATCCAGCTTTAGAGATGGGCCAACTGTGTCTTTTGAATACTGCTGGCAGAGGGCTTTCAGTTCATCCATCACGTTGCCAATCACAGCGATAATTTGTTCCATGTTGGAACACATGAGGCTAATGTTTGCCTCGTATAAATGTGAGCTAGTGGTTCTCAACCTTCTCGTGCCCCCGCCTCTCTTTTCCAATGCAAGCTAAAACACCAAGTATTTTTTAATCATGTCTTTTTAGTCTTTAAATATTCTTTTTTTTCATTGTAAAATTCCAAAAAAAATTACCTTATGGGGGCCTAATCCCCAGGTTGAGAACTGCTGATTTAAAGAGTGATTTTATAGCGTGACTCGTAACTTGACTTGACTTGACCTCCCCGAGATGTTTCCTGGGCTGGTTAAAAAAATAAAGAAAGTGCACTAAGTGTTGTCTATGGAAGAAAAGGGCAGTTGTTAAGCTTTGTTTTTTTGTTTGTTTTTTTTAAATGGGGCCTTATGAAAATGTGACTTTCTCAAACTTACCACAGCAAAGTGACTCATTCCTGTACGTACGTCAACATTATTTGCTGAAAGATTAAGCTCAGTGACATTAGCACTCCTGAATGACCTTAGTGTCTCCACTGAAACCTGCCTGGTCTATTTACTTGTCAGCAGATGTATTCTCTCTCCTCTGACAGCGTTTGCTTTACAGGTGTATGTTCGATGTAAAAAGGGAATGTACACAACACACACACCACTGTATAAAATGCCTTCTTTGTGGACCCGTTCACACATGTCTACCAGCATTAGCTAAACTAATAGTTTGTACAGAGTGTCACTCTCCTCCTGAATGTCCGAGACAGCGAACGTATTGCACACATGCAGCAACACATCCGAGTAGTGTAACCGTTTCCTTCTTGATTGTAATGTAAATCAAGAGCGCTCACAGAATAACAAGTAAGTCTTCACCTTTACTAATGTGAAACACTGTAAGAGATGTCAGTAATGTACACATAAACTCAATAGCATGAGCAACTGTCAGTTCCACTGTACTGCCATTGTAAAACAATAAAACACTGGTACTGTTTAAGTGTGATCTCATCCTCTGATTCTAACCCTGCACGGCTGTCGTCCTCGTTCCATTTCCTTCACTCTGCCTCATGTCCACCTTCTCTCTTGCATATTTTTGTGCTTTGCAACATACATATTAATCATTAAAAAACTTGCAGGATGATGATGGAAA